TTCCCTCTCGTGCTCTCTATCTCCATTCTCTGTCTCTCAAATAAATAAATAAAATCTTTAAAAAACAAGAAAATGAAAACACAGCAGTTCGAACCTATGGGATGCTGCAAAGGTGGTCCTAGGAGAGTAGTACATAGCCATCCAAACCTCTCTCAAAAAATTAGAAAAATCCCAAATGCACAAGTTTACTTTACACCTAAATGCCCTTGAAAAAGAACAAGAAATAAAGCCTAAACCAAGCAGGAAAAGAGAAATAATAAAGACTAGAACAGAAATCAATGAAATAGAAAATAGCAGAACAATAGATCAGATCAAGAAAACTAGAAGCAAGTTCTTTGAAAGAGTTGATAAAATCAATAAACCTCTGGCCAAACTTATTCAAAAGACAAGAGAAAGGACCAAATTAATACAATTAAGAATGACAGGGAAGAGATCACGACTACTACCAAGGAAATAGAAACAATTACTAGAAATTATTATCAGCAACTATATGCCAACAAATTAACCTATCTGGGAGAAATGGGTGTTTTCCTGGAAACTTATAAACTACCAAGAATGAAGCAGGAAAAAATAGACAATCTGAACAGACCAATAAGCAGCAAGGAAACTGAAGCAGTAATCAAGAACCTCCCCAAAAAAACAAGAGACCAGGGCCAGATGTCTTCCCAGGGGAATTTTACCAAAACTTAAAGAAGAAATGATACCTATTCCACTGAAGCTGTTTTAATAAATAGAAACAGAAGAAAAACTTCCAAACTCGTTCTATGAGGCCAGCATTACTGTGATCCCAAAACCTGACAAAGACCCCATCAAAAAGGAGATTTACTGACCAATATCCCTGAGGAACATGGATGCCAAAATTCTCACCAAGATCCTAGTCAATAGGATCCAAAACTACAATTAAGTAATTGTCCACCACGACCAGGTGGGAATCATTGCTGGGATGCCAGGGTGGTTCAGCATTCGGAATTCAAACAACATGATAGAGCACATTAATAATGAAAAGACAAGAACCATATGATCCTCTCAGTTGATGCAGAATAAGCATTTGACAAAATTTAGCATCGTTTCCTAAATAAAACTCTCCAAAATATAGGGATAGTGGTACATACCTCAATGTCATAAAACCCATCTATGCCCACAGTGAATATCAATCTCAGTGGGGAAAAATTGAGAGCTTTTCCTTTACATATACAATAGAACCAAGAAACATAAGATACCTTGAAATAAAGCTAACCATAAACGTAAAGAAATTATACTCCAGAAACCACAGAACACTTACAAAAGAAATTGAGGAAGACACAAAGATAGAAAAATATTCCATGCTCATGCATTTGAAGAATTAACATTGTTAAAATCTCTATGCTGCACAGAGCCATCTATATATCCAATGCAATCCCTATAAAAATATCATCAACATTTTTCACAGACTTGGAACAAATAATCTTAAAATTTGTATCGAACCAGAAAATAACTCAAATACCCAGGGGAATGTTGAAAAAGAAGACTAAACCTGGAGGCATCACATTGCCTGATTTCAACCTGTATTACAAAGCTGTCATCATCAAGAGAGGATCGTACTGGCTCAAAAACAGATATGTAGATCTATGGACCAGTTTAGAGAACCCAGAAATAGACCCTCAACTCTATGGTCAACTCATCTTTGACAAAGCGGGATAGAACATCCAATGGAAAAAAGACAGTCCCTTCCATATTTGGTGCTGTGCAAATTGGACCCCCACGTGCAGAAGAATGAAACTGGACGATTCTCTTACACCAAACATAAGATAAACTCAAAATGGATGAAAGACCCCAATGTGTGTGGAATCCATTAAAATCCTAGAGGAGAACATAGGCAGTAATCTCTTCGACAACTGCCACAGCAACTACCTCCATACATCTCCACCTATCTCTAGTAGGGCTCTACCTGTCAGTGCACCTCAGAATAGTTCCCTAAATCTCTCAGTCCCACCCTGGTTGCTGGAGCTCCAAGCTTCCCTAAGGGCCCCAGGACACTAAAGTGTGAGTGTCAAGGAGCAGTGAAGGAGACAGGAGAGGTTTGTCAGTGGTCTGTAACTGGGTAGGTGTTGGGCTGTGATGCCCTGTAAGCATGAGGGTCAGAGAAGGTCAGGTGTGGGACAGAGGCAGCACCCATTCTGTTGTCCTCCCAGACCCAGAGCTAATGTTTTACATTTGAAGAGGAAAGGCCAGGACAAGAACCAGGCTCACAGTCTACCCTCCCCCTTCTTCCTTCCCTACTCCGGAATGTATCTGTCCCTTGCCCTTTTAGATTCCTTCCCCACCCCTGCCACTTCCTGCCTTCTGCTCAAACAACCACCTCCCAACAAAGTTGCCCCCTTCTCACGATGAAAGAATGGGGATTCAAGGGGTGAGCAGCTCTGTGGTGACAGCCCTCCCAGAGCCTGATGTTTGTGGAACCCAGGGTAGGATGTGCAGGGTCTGAGCAGCTAAGAACAGGAGATTCTAAGTGTTGGGATCCCATAAGTGACCCACATCCCCCTTATATTTAAGTGACCTAGACTCCACCGGCCTCCAGACTCCTGAAAGCAGCACCCTCAAACCAGCTCTGACACCATCCATCATAAAGAGGCAAGACTCACACTTCCCAAGCCCCTGGAGGTCACTTTTCATCCCAAGAAGCTTCCTCACGGTTCCATCTGTTTATGCCCAGGTGCTATGAGCACACTGCCTTGACTGAGCTCAGCCCAGAAGCCACAACTCTAGGCTTCTCCCTGCAAATTCAACTGGAGCCACAGGTGGGCCCCTGCTCACTGGGATCTGCACCTCACTGAGCTTCCAGCCCACATCCCTGAAGCCAAGACGGACCATTTCCCAAGAGGGTCTGACCTTAGAACTTCACCTTCCAACTCCCTTCTGACCCCCAGTGCCCAATTTATCACAGAATCTCAGCTCTGCCTCTTGGAATTGGCCCTTTTCCCTCATGCCCAGGTAGACCCTCCAATCTCCAAGGAGCACTTGTCCCCACCTCTCTCCCACTGGCCTTACTATGTGCAAACACGCAGGCACCTAAAGCACCCAGTGTGAATCCCATCTGTCTCCCCCAATTCCTGCAGTGTTAGTTTGGTCAGAACAGGGCCCACCACCCTGCCCCCCACCCTGCTCTGCCTACAATGCTGACCCCACAGCCCCTCGCTCAGAGATAGGGAATGGTCCCTTGCGTCTGGACGCTGTCTACCCTGACTCCCTGGTGTTGTCACATTTACTCTTCAAAGGCCTGTATCACACAAGAACCTGTCGTGGAGAAACAACTGCTGTCATGGCCACAGTTTGAAGCTATAACATCATTGTTCCATCTCAAGTTTAGCAACAATCTGCTGGGAGATCTCAGCCAGAAATTCTCTATGTAGCAATCTTGGTGTACAGACATACTGCTTCTATTTTCCATCCAATCATAATTGTGCTGATCTCAGCAGCTGTGCTTGGGTTATAGAGATCAGTATGTCTGAAAGTGTTGATGGGGCCAGGCAGATTTTGCTCAGGTTCAGTTCTGCATAATTCACAGATTCTCAGAACCATGGAGATCCCTGCAGCTGTGCTTGGGTTATAGAGATCAGTATGTCTGAAAGTGTTGATGGGGCCAGGCAGATTTTGCTCAGGTTCAGTTCTGCATAATTCACAGATACTTTCTCAGAACCATGGAGATCCCTGCCTACCATGAGGAGAATGTGATGACACCTAAGTGTCAATAGTGACTGCAAGTCAGGCTGCACATCACAATCACCCTAAGGTTGTTTCTCATAATTTACTCATTCAGAAATGATCATTTTAAATTCTTTAAACTAATATTCAAATTTATACCATGCCACCACTCCTAAAGATGATCGCACTTTTCACAGCTCTTCTTCTATGTCATCAGGGGATGGGTGCTCAGACTTCACTTCTATGGGCACTGTGTGGGACAGAGAAACTTCTAGGAAGATATTCATTTGAATGAAGAACCACTCCACCTCATAAAGCTGAGCCTGCCTCTCACTGCACTGCTTGGCCTCTTGTTTTAAGGCCTCTCCCTCCCCCTCCAGGATGGAGCACCTCTTGTTTATCTGGAGGATCTCAGGCAAAGAGGTCCTGGGTCTCCACTACCATTTCCTCCTAGTCCCCCTCCTCATTTCCTGATGTGAGTTTTAATTGAAACTCTTCAAACCACTGTTCTGTTTCACATTCTAGGGCATGGTGTCATTTTCTTTTGAATAGAACTTTCCAAAAGATGAATAACGCACAGACAGCAGACTCCACGGACCTCAGGCTGAAGTCAATGCAAAGTGAGAAGGACTCGAATGCTCACTTTTCTGAGAGTTGGTGGGTGCCATGTCAGAGGGTTTTAGGACACACTGTTATCCCAGTGGCTTTTTAGCCCACTGTTAAGCTGGGATGGAGGACTCCTGGTTTGATGGCTCCCAGGTGACCAAGGGACCAATGGACACATGGGTGAGGTGTTAGGCAGGTTTGGAGTTCTTATAGCCTGAGAACAATTGGCAATTCCAGGGTTTGTGTGTCCTGGGCTCTGGAGGGAAAGAAGGATCCTTGGCCTTCTGCAGAGTTGCACTGTTTGTCTCCAGGACCAAGGAGATATGGTGAATCCTCTGAGCAGGTGCCTGCTTGGACTAGCACAAAACTGAGTTGTTGGTCTCCAGGTCCAAAAGCCCATTGTGAGAACTCTGTTCAGATTCCTGCTTGCCATAGCAGAGAGGTGTTGTTGATTGCCAGGTCCAAGGGCACATGGGAAGCCCACTGTCATGGTGCCTGCTTTGCTTAGACCAGAGCTGAGTTTTTTGTCTCTAGGGCCAAGGACACATGGTGCTCCTGCTATCTTGGTGGCAGTGTGGCTTAGCATGGAGCTGATTTGTTGGTTTCCCTGTCCAAGGGTACATGGTGATCTATCTGTCAATGAGTCTGCTTGGCCAAACATAGAGCTGAGAAGTTGGTCTCCAGGTGCAAAGGCATGAGGTGAGGCAACTCACCAGGTAAATTCTTGGCCAAATGCAGAACTGTGGAACAGGTCTCCAGGTCTAAAGACACATGGTGATTACATTGTCCAGGTGAGTTCTTGGCAATGTGCTGAGCTGGGTTGGTAGTCTCCAGGTCCACGGGCATAGGGTGAGCCTGCTGCCCAGGTGCAGGCCTGAAATAGTGCAAATCTGCATTATCGGTCTCCAGGTCCAAGGGCAGAAGGTGAGGCCAATGTCCAGGCAACTCCTTGGCCTAATGCAGAGCAATGTAACAGGGCTCCAGGTCCAAAGGCACATAGTGGTCCCATTGTCCTGGTGAATACCTGGCAACGGGTGGAGTAGTGTTGGTAGGCTCCAGGTCTAAGGGCACATGGTGAGCCTTCTGTCCAAGTTCCTGCTTAGCCTAGTGCAGAGATGTTTTGTTGGTCTCCAGGCCCAAGGTCACATGGTAACCTGCCGTCCAGGTGCCTGCTTTGCAGAGCAGAGTGCTGAGATTTTGGCCTTCAGGTCCAGGAGCAGAAGGTAAACCCACTGTGAAGGTGCATACTTGGCTTAGCACAGAATGGAGTCGTTGTTCTCCATGTCCGAGGGCACATGGTGTTCCCTCTGTCCAGGAGCTTAATTTGCTTAGTGTTGATCTATTTTGTTTGTGTCCCTTTCCCAGGGCCCATCTTGAGCCTGTTGCCAGGTTTCTGCTTGGCCAAGCGGACAGTTGATTTGTTGGTCTGCAGGTTCAAATGCTCATGGTGGGTCTGCTGTGCAGTTGCGTCCTTTTCCCAGTGCTGAGCTGGGATGCAGGGATCATCATTTCCTGGCACTTGGCAAACCTCATGTTCTCTGGACTTACTTCCCTTGTGCTGTACTGGGCTGGCCAGCTTGTGGTATGAGAGTTCCTTGTTCACCCCGTGTCTATATGACTCTGCCCAGTGTCAAATGGATTCAGAGGGCTCCCAGTCTTTGGATTAATGGTGGGTGCTCTCTTCTGGGGACTGAATTTCTCTATATTCTGCTGTGTTCGAGTGTTGGTGTTCTGTGGCCTCCTGGTCAGCCAGGTGTCTGGGGCGTTAGTGTTTCCACTGCTGAGCTGGGTTAGAGAGCTCATGGTCTGAGGGCCTGTGTTCCAAGGACTCTCACTGTGTCTGGCAATGTGGAGGTTCCTTCTCCCAGACATTACTTCTTTCCTAGAATGCCCTCTCTGCCTGGTGTCTGGAGGCCTTGTACACATCGTGCACATCTGGGTCAGCTGGATGTTCAGGGCATTCATGTGTCCTGTGATGAGCCAATTTGGAGGGCTCCAGAGTATTTGTGTGCCCAGGGCTCCCTCAGGACATGCTCAGCTTTCGTGTGTTGGGCCTGGTTGTGACCCCAGTGGTGTGGGGCCCAGCCGGCTGAGAACCCACTGTTCTCTGATTCATAGTGCCCCACTCCCATATGCCACATTGGAGTGTGTCCCTGAGCAGCTGGTCCAGCCTCACAATGGGAAACAGACCCGGCAGTCACCGGGTGCAGTTGTGGGGATATTCAGGACCCCAGAGGGGCACAAAGAGAGGTGGAAACATGAAGGCGGACTGCAGAGTGTTGGAGAGAGGCCTGGGGCAGGAGCTGTGGGCAGGGGGCTGACCATAAGCAGGGACAGAAAACAGGGCAGAGAAGTCGAGGAATAGCAGGAAGGGCTGTGGCTGATGCACCATCTCTGTTCTCAGTGCAGCCTGGGCTGTTGCCATCCTCTTATAACAGCCCTGGGGCATCACAATGCCTTCTCGTGATGTCACCACCATGCCCTGGCCAATCACCAGGGTGCTGTCAGGTTGGCTTCATTCGGTGGCCAATCACCATGACGTTTGGGTGGCCAATGACTGATGGCCTCTCAATGACCATGACATCATTGCCTTGAAACCATGTTTTAAGGAAAACAGGTGAATTTTCCTTCATGGTAAGAAATTAATATTTGGGATGTAGTTTTAGTGAATTTCATGGTGAGCCTCAACGACTCGACCATACAAAGCTATATGTTACCACTATAGTAACCATTCACTGAAATGCTGACACTGATTTTAATGAAGACATGGGTTATTAGACCCCATGAAAGATCACACTTGTGGAGTTAGTCGGACAACATGGTAGTAAAAAAAACGCTACTCTCAACTCATCCATCACAGTTTAAATATAAGTCTAGAAAAGCATAGAGATTGTGTTTGGTTCATCTTCCCACAATAAAAAGAAACCTGGAAATGATGAAGCTATGTCACAAGTCATTGCCTTTTTGCCAGAATGACATTCAGCTCTCCTAGGAGGGAGACAACCAATTCCAGCCTGTCACCAGGTTCACAGCCTTAATAGCCAGTATCCAATCAGAAAATACTGGGAGGAGGCTTTAAGTATGTCTTCTGCCTCCAATATAACTGCAAACTTATCAAGTCATTTTGAAGACCTAAGAAATAAATCAGAGATTGAGAATATAAATACTACAAGTTGACAAGTAGAAAAGCAACTACTGTTTGGAAGGGGGGAGGTGTGGATATGTGAATCTGGTGTGACATAGCTGAGGATACAGCTGAGGGGAGGGAGTCAGCCTGAGGGGTCTACTGTAAAGGAATACGAGTAGTGGGGTGCAAAATTTCATCTTTTAGAAATCTGGTAAAGAACGTTTGTTTTATATATATAACAGAATATTACTCAGCCACCAAAAAGGATGAAATCTTGCCATTTGAAGGACATATAGGATATTATGCTAAGTGAAATAAGTCAGTGAAAGAAAAATACCATATGATTTCACTCATATGTGGAATTTAAGGAAAAAATGAACATTGGGGAAGGGAAGAAAAATAAAGTATGATGAAAACAGAGAGAGAGGCAAACCATATGAAACTCCTCTGTAGGGAACAAACAGGGTTGCTTGTGGGCAGGTGGCTGGGACATAGGTCTATTGGGTGATGGACATTAACAAGGGTACTTGATGGAATGAGCACCGGGTGTTCTATGCAACTGATGTAATACTAAATTTAGACTCTAAAATATATATATATAAAAAAATGGAATGTGTTCAGGAACCTTCCATATTTGTTCCTCACTGGCACAGAGCAATCTCCCATTAATTATTTGTCGAAGGACTGACCTGGTAGATGGAGCTATCTCCTCACAGAGCAGATACACAGGGTCTGGAGCTCAAGGGAGAGAAGATTAAGAGCAGAGAGGTGCTCTCTGAAGCCAGGGGATGGATGGGCTTCCCTGTGAGGACCATGAAGAGAAGGGCATGTGGGCTAGGACTGAACACAACCAAAGGGGCTGCACAGGAAAAAGCGGGGAAAGGAAGTTGAAATAGAAATCAGTGAAGAAGGAAACTGGAAGTAAATTATCGCAGATGTGAAGAGCGGGGTGTGTCCAGAGACCAGAGTTACCTGCAGCCCCTAGACTGGCTGAGTGAGGCTGATTGCAGCTGGATTGCATTTGGGTTTCCGTGCGTCGCAGACAAACCCAATTCTGTTTTATATGTATTCTTTCTGACTTATTATTTTTTTTAATTGAAGTTGCGTTGACAGACAATATCATGTTAGGTTCAGGTGGACATTATAGTGATTGGACAAGTTTTTACCTTATCCTACATGCACCACAAGTGTAGTTTTAATCTGTCACCTGAGACACTGTTACAATACCATTGACCACATTCCCTATGCTGTGCCTTTAATCCCCGTCAGGTTTTGATCCCATAATGGGAAGGCTGCATCTCCCACTCACCTTCACCCATTTCTCCCATGCCCCCCTCGCCTCCCCTCTGGCAACCATCAGTTTATTCTCTGTATTTATAGGTCTGATTATGTTGGTTTTTTTTATTTCTTTTTGGTGGTTAATTCATTTGTATTGCTTTGCAGATTCCACATAGGAATGAAATCCTATGGTATTTGTCTTTCTCTCTCTGACCTATATCACTTGTTTATGCCCTCTGGGTCCATCCATGTAGTTCCAAATTGCAAGATCTCACCCTTTATTGTTATGGCTGAGTAATAATCAAATGTGTGTATATACCACCTCTTCTTTATCCATCCATCTGATTTTTTTGCTGATAGTTTTTTTTTAATTTTTCAATATTCCAAAAAAAAAAACAAAAACAAGAAAAAGCACACTATACTAATAACTGTGTACACTGTGGACATTTTCAGAGGACTTACATTAGGAAGCATTGTTTGTCTTCACTCCATGACAGTAGTGCATATGCCATAATAACACTTTGCAAAAACAATCCATCAGCAGTTATACAGACAGCATGATTTGACATTTCAACACAAGGAGAAAATCCACGTTTTCCTAGGACTTTCTTCCCTCATACCAGCTGCCTGTTTCCAGTCTAGCAGAGCAGGTCTCCACACATGCTTTTGGAAACATCAGCTTTTAAACTCTAATAGTGTCAATATTTGAAGTCTTATCCATTCCAGATCCAAACATAAATGAGGAAGTTGCCAATTACAATAAGAACCAATGGTTTTTAATGGTTTTGTTGAAGTTTCCCCTACATGGTGTGTAAAATATTGCATGAAAGGAGAAATAAATAAACCTGTCTTAAAGCAAACTTGTTTACATTATAGATCCGAAAACACACTAAACTTAAGACTGTCGTTATGTTTTACAAATTAACTATTTATATTCAAATTAGAGCATTTCCATCAATCTAATGAAAAGAAGTGGTTTGAGAAATTTTGAAAGGCTTTCACATCTCAGTCCCGCATGGCTCCTGCTGCCACAGGCCACAGTGATGAAATACCCCATGTGCTGATATACGGCATGAGATCTGAATAGGCCATGCTCTCCCCTTATGTCGTATTACCTGTTGCAGACCAGTGAATTATTTGAGATGAAAAATTAAAAAAAAAATCCGGACGCAGTGAACTTTGATAAAATATAGCATCTGAAATTGTTCAAAGGTCTTAAAACAGTGGTTTAATGCAATTCTGTAACTTGAAACATAAAATCTGTTCTTATGCTGGGTTTCAACATCACTGGGAAAAATACCCATCACCAAACCCTGATACACATTCTTAGCCATTCGACTATCTTCTGTCATGATCAGTGTTCATGAGGCAAAGCCTGACCCAGAATCTTTGTTCACATTTTCTCCAAGGTCTGCTCCATGCACAGTAGCCATTCTGCTTCTGTCTCCTTCTGTTTGTCACCTGTGGGCATGAGTATCAGGGCTTGCCGCCTGTCTGACAGGGAAATGACACCCACGATGCTATCTGCTTCAGTTGTGACCAGCAGGCCGCAGAGGTCAGCCCACACTGATCTGTCCAGGATTTCCAGCTTACTGCACTTCACAGCACCCTCAAGACTCTGTGAGTGGTGCTGAGGGCCTGGGACACTGTGATAGCTTGGTTATTGTATGTTTTCTCAACAGCAAGGTTAGCATCACACTTGGAATACATGTCTACAACTTGTCCTGACTCATGCACCCCAGGGAAGGCAGGAAACCATTTTTCCACAGAGACATTCAAGGCTTTCCTGATGGGAGTGTCCCGGGGGATGAAGGGATGTTGTGCTGGGTCCCAAACAAAAGAGCATTTGGGTTCTGCATCATGAAGGCATGCTTTGACTGATCAGACATAAAATGCTGGAGGAAATTGAGGATTCTTTTTGTGGTTAAGTGTATAATGTGCATTTCCACTGATAAGATCAATAGCTGGCTATGTGTGGATTTTATTTTTGATCATTGAGGGTTCAACATGGATGAGGCTTGCCTCTGGGGTGATATTGACTAAAGACTTATGTGTTTCTTGGTGAGAGATCTCCCTCCATGTTTCAATATTTTGTGCCTCTCACTCATAAATCTGTACCGGGGTGAGTTATACTATCTCTGTGTTGTATTTATGAAATCTGTAATTGCTAACATTCCTACAAACTTTGTTTTGTGTTCTGCAGTGGCCCTGATGGAACACTATTTGACTGATAAGACAAACAAGCCTTTCCAACTTGTAATGTCATATGAGAAACAACACGCTTTAAAGGGGTTGGAATGATGTGGTGAACCTCGTGTGACCTCATGAAGAGCATGAAAACCCACATTCTGAGTCTTGTGCTTCTTCTTCCAGCTGGCTAGGAATGTAAGGAGGTGGTGTTTAGGCTGAAGGGCAGCCCTTATCCATTCATCTCTAGTGGATACCTGGGTTGTTTCCATACCTTGGATATTGAAAGTCATGGTACAATAAACGTATGGGTGCATATATCTTCACATTGAGGGTATCCATGTCAGTGAGGTGAAGCTGAAGTGGATATTAC